CAGAAGAGAGCTTAAGCATAAACAGCGGGTGCCTGAGAAGATATCGTGGTGGAGGGTTAGCGTATGACACCAAGGGCACTCTGCTCTCAGAACCAGCATCTTCCTTGAGCCAGAGCTTTTTGGGTTTTGCTGGCTGTTGTAATCATAGATTTTTGAATGTAAAAATGAGTATGAGCATGGATAACTATTTAAAAAGTTAAAGACTGCTGCTAACAAGCCCCTTCCTAACAGCCATCTGCAGAAAACCTCACAAGGAAAAGCACGTTTGACTTATTTTATGCCGGCACGAAAATGCACCGTGGCTGGGCACACCACCCCATCAGTCAGCACGGTTCAGTCATCAGCACAGATCTACTCACAGGCGCTTTATAAAACAAAGGAATGGATCTTCAGATTAGCCACCAGGAGGGTCTTGGCTCTGCAAAACTGTGTACAGACGTGGTCCAAGCACTTCCTGAGGGCTACGCGGTGGGCACCATCCCGGCAGCCCAGGCTCCGGCAGCGAGGTCTGGGCCTGCAGCAGTCGTGCGGGCTGGACGACTCACTTCCACAGGGTAAACAGGAGGCTCCTGGGGTTCCTCCTTCTCGGAACACTATGCCTGGTTCTCTATAATGAATCTATATTTGGAACGCTTTAAATGAATTCAACACAGACTTCTTCCACTTCCTCTCCCAATCTCTGTGATGTTGCTTCATCGGGCCACAATTCGCTACTTTAATGAAGTTGACTAGGAGAAACATTTTATTATATAAGTTGCTAAATGGAGACCTCTAAACTAAAACGGTGTTACAGTAATTTTTATGAAGGAACACATTCATGACACAATCCTAAGTAATGAACCAACCTTAAATGTATAAAAGAAATTTCTGCTCTCTAAATCCCCAAATTTGTTTTACCTTTGTGAAGACATTTCAGAAAATGAAGTAAGGCTCCATATTAAGCACTAAATATCCCTCTGCTCCCTTTTGCAAGGTTCTCGAAAGGCTGTTCTGTCCCCAGAATCACATACATGTGAAACAGAGACTTAGACGCCTGTCACTGGTTTGGTTAGAAAGCAGGCTGGCCCTGAGCACACTGCTTTTAGAACTAGCCTGGAGTGTTCCAGGTGCTGTTTTCTGAGATTTGTATTATCCACGCACATGCACATGCACACACACACACACACACACACACACACGTTGGCATGTGCTAGATTCTAGTCCTTTACTGAGGACTCGGTGCCTGTCACACAGCAAAAGGTCAATCCGGAACCAGCTCATGGCATGGTGGTTAAGGCAGATAGAACCCACAGAGTTGACTACATAGTTCAATTCCTGGACCTGGTGGTTTGATAAACACACCAACTCTGTGTGTGTGTGTGTGTGTGTCCAAATCCCAAATAAGGAGACATGGAGGAGCTGTGATTACAGTGTGACCACCTCCATGGGGGTGCTTTCTCACTCTCCTGCCGCCCCAGCAAGTGCAAACACCCTCTGGCCAATTTATGATTACTTTTTAAAAAGGCCAATACATATCTGTGGACCGAATGAACTGGGTCTTTGGGGCAAAGACACACTTACGCAATACCCACAGCACCCTCAGACAGCCCTGACACGGGACACTGGATGAAGAGGAGGCAAGGTGCTCGTTTAAACCAACTGGCACCTCAAACGTGCAGCAGAAGCAAGCATGCTGTTCAAGAGAGGAGAGGGTCCCCAGTACACAGCGCCGGGGAAAAGAATGGGCAGAGCGGGATGAAGATGCTGGGGAAAGGCTGCAACTGAGGGGACCAGGAACTGGCAGCTGGACTGAGAGATGGAACTCAGAGGGCAGAGGCAGGAGTAACCAATGGCTGTTTTCCTCCTACCCAGGGATGAAAACAGACGACATAGCAGGCACGAGGCAGCCTGACCTACAAACCTGAAAGTAGCACGTTTCCTAGAAAGAAAGTTTGCTCACTCCTGCTGCCAAGAGTTTGCATGGACAGCTCTGACAATGTCTTAGACTCAAGGAAATGAATTTACTACAAAAAAAAATAGGGCAATATTAGCCACAAAAAATGTTCTTTTATGTAGAATGGAAGGAAGAACAAGTATCAGAGGGATGAGGGTCAAATGGTGTGACAGACACACAAGAATATTCAGCAGACCTCTGGCCTGCAGATCGGGAAACTCCAGAAGGTATGGGAAACCGTGAGGGCAGGCAGCCTTCAGCCGCGTGGAAATGTGCTCCTGGAACCAAGAGTCTCCACCTCTAGAGGCTGTCTGTCTGTGGTCCTACCTCTCACGTTCTCTGGGACCTAAACTCTTTGCTCGTGCTCTCTCTCTCTCTCTGTCTCTCTCTCTCTCTCTAAGGAGAATTTTGCTATGGGGCTCATGTGCTCACTGAAGAGACAGAGAGACAGCGAGAAAACATCCCCAGGGGGGATGGCCATGCCACTATCCCTTGTCCTCCATTCTCTCGAGATCCTGGGCACGTACACATGAGCCTGACATAAGTTCACGGTCATCCTCAACCCACAGTCATTAAATACTGCAGTGGGTTATCTTAGGAAGAAACAAAACGGAGATAAGAGCACATTTCCCACATTTTCTCTGTGGGAAGGTGGCAAAACATATTCCAGCACGGGAAAGGTAGCGAGACCACATGGGATGCGGATGGAGATAAGCATTTGCCGTCCTGTGTTTCTACCCTGAAGCTTAGTTTCTGACACAACTAGTGTATAATTGAAGCCTTTGTCCTGTAAAACATATTAACCCACAGAGCGCTGGTTTATACTCCTGCTTACTTTTGTTTTATAGATTTTGTTAATGTTAGATGTGTACCGGTGTCCTTCCTTTTGTAACAGATGACTTTCTTTACGCTAAGATCAAAAACACCTTTATGTTTTCAAGTATAATATATTTTCTTTAATAATTCCACATTAGTTTTCTTTTGGTTAATAGTTTCCTAGTAGATCTTTTTCTAACGACTTATATATATATTTGAACTTCCTGGGTATTTATATTTTAGGTGTACTCTTTTTTTTTTTTTTGAGAGGTTTTTGCTATAGGACACGTGTGCTCGCCAGCCAGACAGAGACAGAGAGACAGAAAGCGAGAAATCACCCCCCCAGGGGGGATGGTCACGCCGCAATCCCTTCTCCTCCATTCTCCTCTTGGGATCTTGGGCACGCACGCACATGCGCCCGGCGTGAGTTTTAAGCCACCGGGTTCGGGATGCGAACCGTGGTCGACTACGTGGGAGTCCAGCGACATAGCCATTACGCTAATTGCTGGTTTCCTTTAGGTGTACTCTTTGAAAACAATGTATTGCCTAATTTCTAAAATATACTTGATCTGAGACTCTTCGTCTTTTAACAAGCGTGATCTATTTTACATGACCTAGAATGACTGGTATTTTGGGACAAATTACAATACATTTTTTTATTTCTAACACTATTTTTGTTGTTCTTCATGTGCTTTAAGCAGACTCTTCCTGAATCTTTATCCAGTTTCTGTACTACTTTCCCCCTTTAAACTTACCTGGAAATAATGCTTTCTAGCCCTGCACTTTTAGAAGAAATTAAAAAATGTTCACACACACACATGAACTAACAATCTAGGGTAACATCATGTTTTCCGTTACCCTCTTTGGAGCACGCTGCCATCTTCTATGTTAGTGTGGGCTGGTATTTTGCTTCATCTCATAACCTTTTCCTAAATTGCCTTTTGATTAAATGGTCAATTCTTCTGTCTATGAACTCACTTACCAGTCTCTGGGCTCATTATTAAATCTTAGTCATTTCTCCTCAAATCTCCTTTTTTTAATTAATATATTCAAAAAATATTTGCTGAATACCTAAACATGCAAGACCTTATTCTAGGTGCTAGTGATAGAAGTACACTGAACAAGGACCCTGTTCTGGTAAAGTTTAAATTAAAATGAGTGTTTACATTACTCTCATCATTTACTCAAGTACTTTCATTTTAAGTGGCAAACTCTGAGTGTTGGTTTTTATCGGATCGTTGGAAAGTCATGACATATTTTTTTCTATGTAACATGACTTTTCTGATGACCCAATATTTTATCTTCACTAATGAGACAGTTCAGCTGGGTACAAAATTCCAGGTTCCATTACTATCCTTCAGTTCTCCACTCCCTTTCTTCTAGAATTTATAGTTACTGATGAGAAGTTATCATTTTTCTCATAGTCATTCTCATAGGATTTTGTCATTTTTCTTTCCCTGTTTTTCTGGCTTTGATGTTCCTCAGTTTTATCATAATCCAAGTTTAAATTAGTCCTTAACAATTTCTTTTCAAGATAATTGTTTCCTTACTCCTTTTAATTTCCACATGCATTATAAATATATATACATAAATATGCTTGTGTCTGTAACTGTAACCTCTTATCACTGCTCTTCCTTTCAAAACACCCAGCACAACAAAAGGCACATTCCCCACCCAACCACAAGCCTTAGGCCTTGGCTGCGGGCTTCACATAGAGCTGCCAGATGGGCTTATCCTTGCCGCCTCTCCAGAACCATTCCTTGGCCTGTTTCTCTCATCAGAAAGTAACTTTAGAGAAGGTAAGCAAACTTTCCCAAGTTACACAGTCATAATCAACATTCAAACTCTGTAGATACTACTCTCTCAACACACTATACTCATGGCTCCTGGCTCCCAAGCACACATATTTAAAAGAACTGGAAACGGGACAAGAAATGCTGGACCATTATTAAAGAAATGCAAGAGAGACTCTTATTCTTTGACTATACACTGAATTTTCACAAGCAATTGACACTAGCACAATAAATATGACAAACATAACAACATGCAGGTATTTCTGCTTCAAGAACATCATAATTTACCAAAGGGTCAACTGACTAAATCAAGTTTCTGCCTCAGCAATGACAACTCACCTGAATCATCTTGAAGACACCCAGCGGAGGCTAGCTCATCTCAGACCTAGGTAAAACTGTCAGTCAAAACCAACTGCACATGTGTTCAGGTGAGAGGGACGTGAAAGCCATTGTTTTACCTGGGCTACTTCTTCAAAATCTTCATGACGTTTCTGCAGAGCTCTGGCCCGATGAAGAGATTTCCCCACACCTGTATGTTTGCTCAGAAATGCTTCTCCATGGTTCTCGATCCAGTCCAGCACCTATAACAAAATATAGTACACAGGCCATCAAAACAACGTCTTGCCTTGTTCAATGTTCAGAGTAGTGAAGACACACTCTGCTGTCCAAACTCTGTAAGAAATCAGCAGCCAACAAGAAAAAACAAAGTTGGAAGAAGTAACTGCATAGTGAGTTAACATACTTGATAATTACAGCTGATACTTACCTTGGCTTTCCCACCAGGTGGTTAATCAGCTCTTACATTAAAAGTGTAAACTTTTCAATGTATAAATACTACATATACTCGTGATTAAATTAAGTTTCAACTCATTTTATGCACGTCTGAGCCACCGACCTGACTGGCTTTTGTATAAGATAGTGGCTATTGAGCCAGAGAGGACCAGTTAAACTTTATATTTTATAAGACAATAAGATATACAACTCAGGAAATTCAAGTTTAACTACAGTTGATTTCTATCTCTTCTTTGGAAGACTCAAAACAGATGAGTAAAACCCGAGAAAACAATACACAGTCATGGTCTTTGAGCATAATTTAGTCTATATGCTGAGATGTCACAAGAGGTAGGCATCCATGAATTTAATTACTAAGAAGTTCTTGCTAACTGAAATCTGGTAAAGAAAAAGAGGAAAAGCAAAACAGTGCAATCCAATGTTTTAGAATTTCCACGTGGGACTGAGTAGTTCATGGGTTCTTGTACTTGAGAAATCACAAAACAGTATCTAGTGATGTTCTCGCACTATCAAATGTATACTCTCTCTTTGATGAAGAGGTGACAACCAGGGGGAAACCACGCCAAGTCGGTGATGTCTTTAGTTAAAAACCAAAAACTTTAGCTAAAAGATTTCTAATATTTAAAAACACTTGTTAATGTGCTGGTAAAATATTGAAGGCTCACTTCAAATTTGCACCTTAATCATGATGATGCTGTTTTAGTCCATTCAAGCTGCCTAACAGAATATCTTAGACTGGGTAATTTATAAAGAACAGGTTTTTGTTTTGTTTTGTTTTGTTTTTAAAGTTTCTGCCTTAGTACACATGTGCTCACTGGAGCGAGAGACAGAGAGGTAGAGACAATGAGAGGGAAGGTGAGAAATTGCTCCTGGGGGATGACCATGCTGCAATCCCTTCTCTTCCCTTCTCCTCCCACAATCCTGGGCACACACGCACACGTGCCCGGTGTGATTTTTCAAGCCCCTGGACCCAGGACTCAAACTGCATCTGGCCATGTCAGAGTCCAGTGATATAACTGCTACACCATCTACTGGCCCCTAAACAACAGAAATTTACTGCTCACAGTTCAGGAGGCTGGGAAGGCCAAGATCAAGGTGCCAGCCAATCTGGTGTCCAGAGGAGGTCTGGTCCTCACAGGGTGGAAGGAGCAAATGAGCTCCTCGGAGCTCCATGGGGGTCACCAGTCCTGTTCACGAGGTTGTAGGTTTTTGTTTTGTTTTGTTTTGTTTTTAAAGTTTCTGCCTTAGTACACATGTGCTCACTGGAGCGAGAGACAGAGAGGTAGAGACAATGAGAGGGAAGGTGAGAAATTGCTCCTGGGGGATGACCATGCTGCAATCCCTTCTCTTCCCTTCTCCTCCCACAATCCTGGGCACACACGCACACGTGCCCGGTGTGATTTTTCAAGCCCCTGGACCCAGGACTCAAACTGCATCTGGCCATGTCAGAGTCCAGTGATATAACTGCTACACCATCTACTGGCCCCTAAACAACAGAAATTTACTGCTCACAGTTCAGGAGGCTGGGAAGGCCAAGATCAAGGTGCCAGCCAATCTGGTGTCCAGAGGAGGTCTGGTCCTCACAGGGTGGAAGGAGCAAATGAGCTCCTCGGAGCTCCATGGGGGTCACCAGTCCTGTTCACGAGGTTGTGTCCCTCATGACCTAATCACTCCCTAAAACCACTGGACTGTGTTTCAGCATCTGGATTTGGGGGGAACACATCCATTCGGACCACTGCAGTTCCCTCAGCAGAGATGGAAAAGGCCTTAGACTGAAGAACAGGGTCCTGGACAGCAAAGACAGACGCCCGGAGGGCAGGCCCAGAACAGCCACAGCCCTCTGCTCCTGGGGGCAAAATAGCATGCACTTGACTTCTGATTCACCGCTATCAAGGAAGACTCTGCCTCTGTCACCTATCCTAGAGACCGGCTCTAGAAATGAGGGAGCTGGGGGTAAAGGCCAGAGCCCAACTTGTTCCCCCTGCTCCCTACCAGTGACCTTCACATGCAAGGGCCTGACGGGTCCTTGCTGCCCAGGGTTCAGCGAAGTCCACACTCCATGTACATGAAATGGCTTGTGAACCTTAACAGACTCTCGTGGGCCTGTGAAGACCCTTGTGGAAAGGGCGGCTGAGACGTAGGGGTGGGTGGTGTGTTCACCTCTGAACCTTCTGTCAACACCACTCCACCATGGGGCATACGAGGAATTCCTACTGGCCCCTCAGTATTCCATCAGCCCAGTCTCACCCACCACCCTGTTTTCTGGATTCTCCTCACTTCCACTCCTTTGTTTCTGGCCCCTGCTCTGACACAGGCTCTGGCTGTGCTTCTGAGCAAGTCCCTGGTCCTTTCTGACCACGGGCTTCCTTTCCCTGGTATTTGTGGGCGTTTGCATATTCAGTGATGTCTACATTACAGTCTTTATGCTGCTGCAGCAAATACGGGCTACCTCACCATACACTGGGAGCTCCTTCATGGCGTGGACTGTAACTATCCCACCGCTTTTAACTACTGTACTCAGCACATCATCTTTCTTCAGATGAGATGAAATGAGAGAGAGAGAGAGGGAGACAGAGAGAGAGAGAGAGAGAGAATCGTTTAGGGCACTGACTGCTACATTTACTTCCAGACTTCAAGGCAGATACAAAGCTGCCGAACTGTTTATATGAGTCTCTAAGTATATATTATACAAAACACGGTCCTGTTCCACTCCTAAAGAAATGTCTCAATGACAATGCCCAGACCTCTCAGCCTCCAAGAATGAATCCATTTAAAGGAATGTGCCTCTGGCAGGAGGCCAGCACCATAGCAGTACCAAGTGCTAAAGCTGGAAGAGAACCTGGATCAATGTAACTGACACCTCTGCCAAAACTGGCTGGCGTACAAGCCCTGTGAGGGCCAGCCCCACTTTCTTTCTCGCTAGAGAGCACATGGTGTGTACTCCTCAGCCCTGGAAAGGAAAACCAAGCGGCGACAAAGCAGCAACTCTGCAATTACTGGATTAACTCCAGAGAGGTCTGAAACAAGGACACAAACTCAAAAGTAAATAGCAAACATTATTTGGTAGACAGGGCCAAAGAAGGCAAAACAACAGTATTTTAAATATAATGTTTTCTTTTTGAGAGATTTTTGCTATAGGACACATGTATTCATCAGAGAGATAGAGACAGAGAGACAGAAAATGAGAAATCACACTGCAAATCCTTTTCCTCCTTCTCCTCTCTGGCTTTTGGGCACACACACACAGGCACCTGGTGTGACTTTTAAGCTGATGGGTCAGTCCAACTGTAGTTGATCGCGTGGGAGTTCAGAGCCTTAACCATCATGCCACCTGCTGACACCTTAAAAAATGTCTTTTTAAAAGTATTTCAGAAAGTACAGGTTGAAAATAAAAGGTACTACAAACCAACCACTCAGAGTTATGACGGAAATTTTTCTTTTATCAGTGTTTCCTTCACACAGAAGCAGAAACACCAGGTGAAATTACAGTCCCAACAGACTTGAAAGTACTTCCAAGGACAATGTCCAAATTCCGAGCACTTTATTAAAATAACAGCAGACAGAATGTTTGGCTAGTGTTCGTCACTAAACTCTCCCAGGAGGCTGTTGCTTCTTTCCAGTAGGGGCAGATTTCCCGGACTACCAAGTGACTCTCGATGAATATGCCTATCTACATTTTAAAGACCTGCTGTGGAACCTTTCCATGTGAAACATCAGTCCTTAGCCAATCAGGAGGCTTTGTGGCCCCACCTCCTGAGCTCAGCCACAGGTAGTGGCTGGCACCTCCCTGCCCTGTAACAGGGCGGGCTCAGGATTTGTGCTTTCCTTCCAGATTTGAGGAAAAGGGCCAAAATTGAACCGTTCCTAAGCTACCGGGCTCAGAGGATATTCAATATTGTGTTACTAATGAGATTGACCTGCCAAGTGAAAATCACAGGTGACCTCCCTGTCCTGGGAGCTTGACCCCAGTAACAGGGCGGGCTCAGGATTTGTGCTTTCCTTCCAGATTTGAGGAAAAGGGCCAAAACTGAACCGTTCCTAAGCTACCGGGCTCAGAGGATATTCAATATTGTGTTACTAATGAGATTGACCTGCCAAGTGAAAATCACAGGTGAGGGGGTACTCCAAGATTAAATTACTGGAAGCCACACTCTCATCCTACGGCTTCTTCGCTGGCTCACACTCCTTTTCCAGGTACGCCAAACACACTTTATTCTTGAACCCAGGGTCTTGGTCATGGGTGTCTCTTTCCACGGAGGCCAAGTTCAGCGAGACTCTGAAACCACATCGTTCTTCCAAGCTCCCCGATCTCCCTAATCACAACACAGAGAACAGGGAGGCCTAAGGCAGTTGGGAGGGGTGGCCTGCTGCTCCAGACCAGGAGTTGGTGAAGGGTGCCTTTTCTCCCCTCCCACTGGTCACTCACTGATAAAGGGTCAATTCTCAAACCTTAAAAAAAGTACCCAGTTGACAACTGCAGCTTCTAGGAAAGCCCTTTCCCTGGCTCAAAGAGTACCACTTACAGATCGTCTCCTAAGTAACCTGTTGACTAGCTCAGGAGTCAGGCATCCTCCCCAGAGCCAGGAAGGGGACAGAGCGAAAGTGTCACCAGCCTTCCTGGTGTATTGGCCAAGTTGCCTGACTTTTTGAGGGTTGGTGTAAGAACCTGGAAAAATTTGAGGGGCTCTGGATCCCCGTTCTACATGGACATATTGCAACTTTAATTTTTTTAATTTGCCAGAGGACATGTGCACTCACCAGAGAAAGAGAGAGAGAGAAGGAATGTGAG